AGTTTGAAGTAAAAGTGGGCATGTAAAGAGCTTGAGAATCTTTATTAAACAGTTTCAGATTTCCTATTCCTTCTATGGGTATTTTATCACCATTTGCAATTTCTACACTGCCTAGAGCTGGGGTTACATTATTAATCAGTCTAGCATCCCTAATCATATGATGAGAAGCTCCTGAATCAATGATCAAAGGTCTAGCAGTATGAGATCCATTGTGAACAGAGTTTAAAGTATTAATACTAATGTTACCGGAGTTCGCATTAAGAGCCTTTATCAGGGCCTCAATGTCTGACTTGCGGATGAATGCATCATTAGAAGATGGCTGAGGCATAGCTTGAGAGGTGGAGCCACCAGTGTACTCATGAGCTCTTGCTTCATGTGCTTTGGCCTGGTTGAACTTGGCTGGTTTGAGGTGCGGGTGGAGGATCCAGCAGTTGGTTTTGGAGTGTCCCAACTTCTTGCAATGCTCACACGCCACATGCTTGTCTCCTCCTCCCCTTGGTTTGAAATAAGCTTTATTAGCTGCTGTACTTTCCACCTTCTCAGCCTTGTTTGCCATAGACAGCTCTTCTTTTCTCCCAAAGAGACCATCTGAGCCAATCTCCTTTTGAAGTTGTGCACACACATCATCATAGCTTTGGAGCTCCTTAGCTCTCAATATGTGTTTAACCACATCACTGAAGTTTGAATTGAGTGTGAGAAGAAGACCAAAGACCTTGTCTTGCTCANGGTCAGATTTGAAGTATTGCCATACACCTTTTTCAAGGTATCCCACAACTGTTTTGGAGTTTCACATTGTGAGTAAGAGTCCATGATAGGACCATCAAGAGAGCTTTGCAAGATAGACAGCACCATGAGGTCTTCCTGATCCCATTTGCCTTCATCTACCACTACAATCTCCTTGCCATCTTCTCCTTGGGTGATTTGCTTTGGTGCAGAACTTGAGGTGATATGCTCCCAAAGACCTCTTCCTCCAAGGGCTGTTTTGGCCAATCTAGACCAAGTGATGTAATTTTCTCCTCCCTTGAGAACAACAGGAATCTTGACTTGTATGAATTGATTCATCTTCAGAGATTATTACCCACTGGTTACACAAAGAAGCTAAGGAAAAATAATCACTGAGATTTTACAACTCAAGAACACAGATTTCTTAACTCCAAAATAAAGTAGATCTGGAGAGAAAATAGAAGGAGTAGATTGATGAATCAAATAGAAGAGAATATCAGAGTTAAATCGCGGAAGCAAAATGAGTACACAAGAGCTTATAGCTCTGATACCATGTTAGAAAGTGAAGCTTTGAGAATGAAGAACAAGAGAGAGATGAGAGAAAAGAGTAAAGAAGGAGAAACTTTTTCCTTGGATCTGAAAAGTAACGTTACAATCAGTTATAAAGAAAGAGAATAATCTTATTCTAGTAACCAAACACCCTTGGCTTACTAGAGAAGCTAGAATACATAACTAACTTATTTATTTATTTAACTCAATACCAAGATCTCCAGCTGCTTACTTGTCTTGCAAGGCAAGTGGTCTTGAATCTGCTGCTGCTGAGGAAGTTGCTAAGTTGTATAAAGAAATGGCGGCGAGGATTGAAACGGCACCGAGACTAGGGAGAATACCAGATGAGGCACGTTTGAAGCACGTGGACGGATTCTCGCAGTGGGACACTGACGCTACACGCAGAAACCATGGAACCATTGTTCAAGTAAGAGAGACTATAACTTCCAGCAATGGAAAGAACTGAATCTGACTAGTTTTCTTTATTGGTTTCATGAACAGATTTTGGTAGATGGAAGAAAGTCGAATACAGTAACGGTGCCAACCTTGGTGTATTTGTCGAGAGAGAAGAGACCTGAGCATCATCATCACTTCAAAGCTGGAGCCATGAATGCATTGGTAACTGGTTTACTTGTTACCCAAGTCATTCGGACCACTCGATTTGACACTGTTTTCATTTTCTGACAGATTAGGGTTTCTTCGAAGATAACTTGTGGAGAGTCATACTAAACGTGGACTGTGATATGTACTCAAACAACTCAAAGTCAGCACGCGATGCACTATGCATCTTACTTGATGAGAAAGAAGGAAAAGAGATAGCTTTCGTGCAGTTCCCACAGTGTTTTGAGAACCTTACAAGGAATGATTTGTATGGAAGCATGATGCGCGTAGGAGCTGACGTAAGTTGTATATATAGGACATTAAACATAATATAGATTCTAAATTTGAAAAATAATTATTCTTGTTTTACTACTAACTGGTTATGTATTGGGATGGGTAAAATAAAATAAAAAGGTGGAGTTTAAGGGATTGGATGGAAATGGCGGTCCATTATACATTGGAACTGGATGCTTTCACAGAAGAGATGTGCTCTGCGGAAGAAAGTACGGAGAGGTAGTAGAAGAAGAAGAAGAAGAATCTGAGGATATTTCAGAGCCTGAGATGATTAAGGCTCTTGCAAGCTGCACTTATGAAGAAAACTCTCAATGGGGAAAGGAGGTAAGTCAATGATTTAATAATTACTTAGGCCCTGTTCGTTTGTACATCTGAAAGATGCATCCAGATGGTCCATCCAGATGTCTTATCCAGATGCTCTATCTGGATGTTGTTCGTTTCTCTATTTCGTCTATATATCTAGATGAATCATCTAAATGTAACTATGTTCGTTTGTTTTTTTAAACTTGCATCTGCATCCAGATGGATTTGTTAATAAAATGAATAAAAGAAATTTGTGTTTACATTTTTAACGGGAAAATGCATTTTTACAATTTTGACATGAAAATGTGTTTTTACAAATTTAGCGGGAAAACATTTTTTGCGATTTTGGCGGGAAAACGCATTTTTACCGTTTTGCCGAGAAAACGTGTTTTGCAGTTTTAGCGGGAAAATACGTTTTTATGGTTTTGGCGTGAAAACGTGTTTTTGCGGTTTTGACGGGAAAACGCGTTTTTGTGGTTTGGCGGGAAAATACATTTTTACGTTTTTGGTAGAAAATGCATTTTACAGTTTTGGCGGGAAAACGTGTTTTATGTGTTTTTGGCTGGAAAACGCGTTTTTACGGTTTTGACGAGAAAACGCGTTTTTACAGTTTTGGCGGGAAAATACATTTTTATGGTTTTCGCATGAAAACCTGTTTTTACGGTTTTGGCGGGAAAACGCGTTTTTTGCGGTTTTGGTGGGAAAATGTATTTTTACCGTTTTGGTAGAAAATGCGTTTTACAGTTTTGGCTGGAAAACGTGTTTTATGTGTTTTTACGGTTTTAGCGGGAAACACACATTTTTACGGTTTTGGCGTAAAAATGCGTTTTTGTGGTTTTGGCAGCAAAATGCATTTTTGGCGGGAATATGTATTTTTGCAGTTTTGGCGACAAAGTGTATTTTTACGATTTTGGTGGAAAATACATTTTTCGGTTTTTACGATTTTGGCGAAAAAATATATTTTTTGGTTTTTACGGAAAGATATATTTGCAAAAAAAAATTAGTATTCTTGGTTTAAAAAATTATATTTATTTTAAAAGGTTATTTTTGTCATTTATGATTTTGGACTGAACTAGATGCATCTGCATCCAGATGCACCATCAAGACTCACCCTCATTTGGGTGAGAATTTGAGATGAGTTTTTTAAAAATCAGTTGGGTGATCCATCTAGGTGTAGCATTTTAATGTACAAAACGAACATTGATTTGCATCTTCACCCAGATGGATCACCTGGGTGAGCAAACGAACAGCACCTTACTAAGAATGTGTCTTGACCCGGAAGTAAGCCGGTTTATTTCCACTTTCTTTCAAAAATCAAAAACAAAAACCAAGTAAAACCATGGTTCTTTCCATGGCAGATGGGTGTAAAATATGGTTGCCCGGTAGAGGATGTCATAACCGGTTTAGTGATTCATTGCCGTGGATGGAAATCAGCCTACTTGAACCCCCAAAAGAAAGCTTTTCTTGGGGTAGCGCCGACCAATTTGCATCAGATGCTTGTGCAGCAGAGGAGATGGTCAGAGGGAGACTTTCAGATTCTGCTTTCTGAGTATAGTCCGGTTTGGTATGCCCAAGGAAAGATCGGTTTTGGATTGATTCTTGGTTACTGTTGCTTTTGCCTTTGGGCTCCAAGTTCACTACCTGTGCTTGTTTACTCTGTTTTGACTTCTCTCTGTTTCTTCAAAGGCATTCCTCTGTTTCCAAAGGTAAAATAGCTTTCCTCTGTTTTTTTGTTATGAGTTTTTGGTATAAACTCTGAATCTAAGATAAAACTGATCTGTTTTTATTTTAGTTCAGGTCTCCAGCTGGTGGTTTATCCCGTTTGGTTACGTGACTGTTGCAGCTAATGGTTACAGCCTAGGCGAGTTCTTGTGGTGCGGAGGAACGTTCCATGGATGGTGGAACGAGCAAAGGATGTGGCTCTATAGAAGAACAAGCTCCTTTCTTTTCGGATTCACCGACACAATTCTGAAGAAACTTGGGGTTTCTGAGTCTGCATTTGTAATCACCGCAAAAGTAGCTGAAGAAGAGGCAGCAGAGAGGTACGAGAAGGAGGTAATAGAGTTTGGAGTGGAGTCTCCGATGTTTCTCCTCCTCGGAACACTTGGGATGCTCCATCTCTTCTGCTTGGCCGCAGCAGTTATGAGACTGGTGACTTGTGAAGAGGCTGGAGGAGATGTACAAACAATGGGTATGCAGTTTGTGATAACAGGACTACTTGTGGTAATAAACTGGCCTTTATATGAGGGCATGTTGTTGAGGAAAGACAAAGGGAAGATGCCAAGGACCGTGACAGTCAAAGCATTTGTCTTAGCTTTTTCTGCTTGCACTTGTATAGCATTGTCTTGATGAAAGATGGAACCAATTTATTTGATACAATGTGCATTATGGATAGCAGCTACCAAAATAATGTTTGAGAAGTTTGCAAAATCAAATGTTCTCTTTTAAAGATTTTTTGCTTTACAAATCCAAAGAGAAAAACAGGAAAGATAAAAGTAGTCTCTCCAGTTTTCAATTCATTCTGCAGTCTTTACCGAAAGGCAGCACTCCTTTCCTGCCTGCAAATCTTCAAGGATCTGCCATGGAACCAATGAAATCTTGAGATTTGTATGGTAAAAAGCATTTGTTTCAAAATAGCAGTCTGTGGTTAAACAAAAGAGGAGGATGTACAAGTATGAAGCTTACTTGCATATACATAGGGGGCAAAAGAATGAAGGATTGATGGGTTTTCACTGGTTTTGAAGGTAGTTTCAAGAAGTTTTGTTCAAGCAAACCCGAAACCTTCATTGGCTGGCAAGTAGCAGGAGTTCTTGAAGTTGTAAAAAGAGATACACCACTCTCTTAAAACGAAAGAAAAATTCCCTATTCTTTTCAAAAGAGGAAGATAGGCAGAGCAGGGATACCAGATATGAAGATTATCAACAACAGGAAATATTTCAGGTGTATTCGATAGAAGCTGCTGCTGATATTTGGTTTACCTTTGATGTTCCGGTGACAAACTGAAGAAATCTAGCTATATCTTCTTTGTCCCGAGTATCTCTCCCTCCCTTTTAGTGACTCAGTCCTCGGTATCAGGTATCTCAAAGACCATAAACTTTGCAAGAGAAGCGAGTTTCTTACCATCTTTACATCTCTTTCTCCGAGTCTTGCTTCTGAAAATAGATGATGATAGTGAACAAGACATACTAGACTTTCCATGCATTCTTATGTTTTTCGCAGCCACAATTAGCTTATGGCTTATCGTTTCACTTTTACTCACAGAAGTATCCCTCTCCGGCGTTTTTGGTACGAAACATTCCAAGTTGTTCAACTCAGCAGCTCTTGCTGTTGACAATGAAGATCTTACTATGGTTTCAGAAACAACAAACTCTCTCTTCTTTCTCTTCTTGTTTACACCATGGATTAGCCCAACGCCTACTTCAGGGGATTTTTCGGGACCTGAGCAATGTCTAATTTGAGATTTACCAAAGCGGTTGGATATGCTTGGCTCTTGTGAACTGTTAACAAGTCTAGCTTCTGCGTGGATAAACCAGGGCTTTTGGTTATCCCGGAAGATGTACTTTATAGGCACAGATTGAGCAAGGTAATAAAACTGAGCCTTTCGATGAACCTGAACTAGGAGAGTAGCAAAATTTAAGCACATAGATGGGTGTGAAAGAAAATGGGGTTTTCAGATTTACATTACCATTAGACCATGAACGCGTATCTCCCCTAAGCTGGGTAGGCAACTTTCATGTGTTTCCTCAAGTTTTCCTGCAAAAGCACACTTCCCATTTATACATATTTTTATATTCATAGAGAGAAAAACTGGCAAATGGTGGGTACTGAGACATAGATACATGCACAAGAACTGAGAAAGGCACTGTAGAGAGCCTCAAGTGAGTAACAACAGACAGAACATCAATCAAAGGAATCAAACACTAGAAGACAGCCAGAGAAGAACACTTGTTATAGTGATCATAGCCTGAACGCTTTATCTCCATTACTCAGAAAAGTTTTCATATCTCCCTTCATTTCAAAATGGGCATGCATATCAGTTTACTCGCACACGGTCCAAAACAATCAAAGGAAGACTACACTGACGAATCTTCTTTATCAGCTAAGTATAAAGTTGGTAAAAGCAGAGAAAGAACAAATCCTTTTCCAGAAAACAGAATCGAAAGTGAAAACTTGCGCAGTAATCATAGGGAATAATAGGAAGAAAAGATAGGGTTTTAGAATGGAGCATACTCTTGAAATCTGCTGATGTGATATCGAGAGAAACCGTCATGGCGATTCGGGTTCCCAAGTTAGTCTCAACAAAGACAGCAACTTCTCCCATTGCCAGCGCCCGGAGGGAGGCTGCAGACAAGCTGTTTTGTTAACTAATGAGAGAAGCAACGAGTCACGCTGTTTCAAAGAGAAGTGTTTGCAGTTTTTTTAATTAAAAACGACTGACTGTGTGCTACTGTCAATTTTTTGAACTCGAAAGCCGTAAACGACACCGTGTTAGCGTCGGAACTGAGCAAAAACCTAACCAAGGATCACTGCCATTTCTCCGTTCAAAAAAAAAAAATGCGGCGGCACAAACGATGGCCGTTGAGGCCTCTCGCCAGTGCTTCGGTTCGTTGCATCTCTTCGGCGGCGGAGACAGTCACTACTCCGACGGCTGCGGCGGCTTTCCCGTTAAAGCACGTGACGAGGTCGAACTTCGAGACGACGCTTAACGATCTGCGTGCACACGTGAAGGCTGCTGATTTCGTGGCGATAGACCTGGAGATGACCGGCGTGACGAGCGCTCCTTGGCGAGACTCGTTGGAGTTCGACCGCTACGACGTTCGGTACCTAAAAGTCAAAGACTCCGCCGAGAAATTCGCGGTCGTTCAGTTCGGCGTCTGTCCTTTTCGCTGGGATTCTCTCACTCACTCATTCGTCTCTCACCCGTTAGTCTCTTTCTCTTTATCTCAGGTGTTGTGTTGTTTCGTTTCCTTTAAAGACTTGGGTTTTTGGGGCGCAGGCATAATTTCTATGTATTTCCTCGTCAAGATCATCATGAGTTTCTCTGCCAGACGACTTCCATGGACTTCCTTGCTAAGTATCAGTTTGATTTCAACACCTGCATCCATGAAGGTGCCTCCTTCTTTCTCCTTTTCATGATGAGCAAGAGTCTGTGTTTAAATCATTTGAGGAATTCACGTTTTTTTAATAATCTCAGGAATCTCTTATTTGTCCAGACGACAAGAGGAAGAGGCAAGTAACCGTTTTGAAATGATGTACGATGATGAGGAAGGTGTGGTTGAAACAGAAGATTTCAAGTTGGTGCGTTTAGCGGATGTTCTTTTTGCTGAGAGGATTAAGAAGAAGCTGAATGAATGGCGGTCTGAGCTCTTACATGGTGGGAATGCATCTTCTGAGTCTCCTGGGATCTCAAATGGGTCGACACAGAGTACTGAAACTGTGTTTTATCACATGCGTCCTGCTCTCAGTCTGCAGGGTTTCACTTCTCATCAGCTCAGAGTTATTAGATTGGTAATACTCTTTGTTNTGAGAGGATTAAGAAGAAGCTGAATGAATGGCGGTCTGAGCTCTTACATGGTGGGAATGCATCTTCTGAGTCTCCTGGGATCTCAAATGGGTCGACACAGAGTACTGAAACTGTGTTTTATCACATGCGTCCTGCTCTCAGTCTGCAGGGTTTCACTTCTCATCAGCTCAGAGTTATTAGATTGGTAATACTCTTTGTTCTGAGATTGATTTATCTTCAAGACGATGTTTTCATCTTTTCTTCATATTGTTATTTTATTTAAACTTCGGCTCTGGATTTTAATTTTTGCAGGTTTTAGGAAAGCATTTTGGAGATCTTGTATACATACATGCCAATGATAAAAGTTCCTGTTCCCAAGACTTTGTTGTGTACACTGATTCAGAATCCGACAAGGAAAATCTCTTGGTAATATACCATTTACACTTGCTGGAAAGATATCTTACCACTAGATACATGTCCTTGGATCTTTACTTAGATTGATGAAGTGAATTTGTTAATGATAGCAAAGTTCAGGCTTGATGGATACTGTTATTCACCCTTCTTTGATATTATTACTATTATTCTTCTACAGAAAGAGGCAAAGGATGAACGCAGGAAAGTGGCGGAAAGAAAAATACAATCTGCAATAGGGTTTCGTCAAGTTATTGATCTGCTCTCTTCAGAGAAGAAGTTGATTGTTGGTCACAATTCTATCCTCGGTATGCAAGCAAGTTGCTTCTCTATACGTCTATGATGGTTTTGCAACTTTTAAGATGCTTTGCTCTTAACCATTTTTTTGCTTTTATCTGACGCAGATATTGCACATGTATACAGCAAATTTATGGGTCCTCTTCCTTCAACAGCTGAGAAATTCGTGGCCTCCATCAACGACCACTTTCCTTACATTGTCGACACCAAAATACTCTTAAACGTGAACCCAATGTTAAATCAGAGGATGAAGAAGTCAAGTACATCACTATCCTCTGCCTTCTCCTCGTTATGTCCACAAATCGAGTTTCCTTCGCGAAGCTCTGACTCGTTTCTTCAGCAGCGTGTCAAGATTGACGTCGAAGTAGACAACGTTAGGTTTGTTCCTCTTCTATTCTTGGCATCAACGCTTGTAATGCATAGTGTTTAAACTTATATTCTTCTGTTTCAGGTGTTCTAACTGGAATGCAGGAGGAAAACACGAAGCAGGTTATGATGCTTTCATGACAGGTTGCGTCTTTGCACAGGCATGTAGTCATCTAGGGTTCGACTTCGAACATGATTCAGAGAACATTGCACAGAACGAGAAACTTGAAAAGTACATTAACCGTCTTTATCTCAGCTGGACAAGTGGCGATATCATCGACCTACGAACAGGCCATAGTAATGCAGAGAACTGGAGAGTCTCGAAGTTTAAATACGAGAAAATCGTCCTCATCTGGAATTTCCCACGAAAACTCAAGGCTAGACAGATCAAAGAATGCATCTGCAAAGCCTTTGGCTCGACTTCCGTCACTTCTGTCTACCACTTAGACGACACTGCAGTTTTCGTCTTGTTCAAGAACTCGGAACTTGTTTCCGAGTTCCTAAAGGTCAAGGAGCAGCTTGAGTCAGACAATGGTCCTGTCACGATCATTCACCCTCTCTCCAAGATCCTTGAAGGAGGGAAAACCGGAGCTGCAGACTACGAAGCCTACAAAGAGATTTGCAGCTCACACATTTCAAAGGTCCTATTCTCTGACCAAGCTGAAACTGTTGGTGTCAAACCAAGAACAAGACCTGAGACTGAGAGAAGAGAGAGCATGGTCGCTGTGACTGACAATGACAAAGCATCGGATTTGATCGATGCGTTTTTGGCAAGTAGAGTTTAAAGACTAGTTTTTGTTTTTTTTTTTTTGCAAAGAAAAATTGTCAAACATGAAACGGATAGAGTGTAATACTTGTGTTATGATCAGGTATAATTTAAAAGATGTGCGGATAAATCAAATAGTATTGTTAACAATGGATCGGATGGAAATATCAATCTCAATCAAATTTTCTTCAGCTTCAAGTTCTTCCCAAATCTCCATGATCGTCAACTCCTGGTAATACTCTTCTTTGCTCATCCAACCATCCTTTGCTTCTCTCACCAGAGAAATCTCTATCAACCCTTCTTCTTCCTCATCATCACCTAGGTTGGTTTTAGTTTGTTGACCTTCAGGATCTTCTTCCCGACCATGAAGACCAGAGTTGGACTTGTTTCTGAACACGTCACTAATGTGGAGAACCTTAGAGAGAAACAAGATTGGGATAGTTATGAGATTGAAAAGTTTCTTCAAGAAAGAGAGTGCTGAGATCAATAGTGTCTTGTTGATTCCATTTCTCGCCATTGTTGGGGGTCATCAGACATTACACAACCGATTTATAATGTGTTCATCTCTATCATGAATTTTCCAGCCGAATGCATTGAACACAGGCAATATTCTAATGGGGGTACAAAGACAAATTTCTTATGACATGTTCCCCAGTATCTTGTAAGGGAGCCCATTGGGTCAGGACTTGTGACACATGCATTGTTGCATTGACTTTCATCCGTTGACTCCAGACATAGCTGTTCTCTATGAATCTAAAGCCCTTCAGTGTCCTAGCCACAAAGAATAGGTTACCATCGTGACAACAAAAAATCCAGCAAGATTTCGACAATGTTAACAGATAGTGTATGTCATTTCACTATGCCGAGGAACTTTAATCTGATTGCGGTTGTAGTCTTTTTCTCTCCGTCTTATTTTCATTTTAACCCCCAGTTCTTTCTTTTATTACAGATACAGAACAAATAATTTCAAACTATCAGATACATCCTTCCCCAAAATTATTTTATTAAACCCTTCTCCTGAGACCTATTGTACATACCCAAAACGATGTCGTTAATTTCACGCCTTCTCCGTGGCACCTTCAACACTACCACTCTCCGTCGTTTTTCCTCCGCCGCCTCGGAAACCACGGCCGAAACCTCTCTACCTAAAAAGTCACTCAGCAGTATCGTGAATGACGAACGAAACCCCAAACGGATCGTTGAGAAGTTCAAAATGGCGTGTGAGTCAGAGCGATTCCGAGCCAACATAGCCGTGTACGATAGAACCGTGCGGCGTCTCGTCGCCGCAAAGCGATTACATTTCGTGGAAGAGATTCTAGAGGAGCAGAAGAAGTACCCCGACATGTCAAAGGAAGGATTCGCGGCGAGGATCATTTCTCTTTACGGAAAAGCCGGCATGGTTGAAAAGGCACAGAAGGTGTTCGACGAAATGCCTGAGAGAAGCTGCAAGAGGTCAGTGCGGTCTTTCAATGCCTTGCTTAGTGCCTATGGGGTTTCCAAGAGATTCGATGTGGTTGAGCAGCTTTTCAGTGACTTACCGGACAAGCTATCGATCAAACCAGACATCGTGTCTTACAATACTTTGATCAAGGCGTTGTGTGAGAAGGGTTCCTTGTCGGAAGCGGTTGCGTTGCTTGGTGAGATTGAGAACAAGGGTTTGAAACCTGATATAATCACATTCAACACGCTTTTGTTATCTTCATATCTGAAGGGAGAGTTCGAGCAAGGGGAAGAGATATGGAGTAAAATGGGGGAGAAGAATGTAGGTAAAGACATCAGGAGTTACAATGCTCGGTTGCTTGGATTAGCCACCGAGACGAAATGGGAAGAGTTAGTAAGTCTCTTTGAAGAACTGAAGTCTAGTGGGATCAAACCTGATGTGTACAGCTTCAATGCAATGATTAGAGGGGCAATCAACGAAGGAAAAATGGAGGAAGCTAAAGCGTGGTATAAAGAAATTGTGAAGCAGGGTTATCGTCCTGATAAAGCTTCATTTTCTTTACTGCTTCCTGCATTGTGTAAAGCGGAGGAGTTTGGGTCAGCGATAGAGGTGTGCAAGGAGACATTCAGTAAGCGTTATCTTGTGGGTCAAACGACACTGCAGGAGTTAGTAGATGAGTTGGTAAAAGCGGGTAAGAGAGGAGAAGCTGAGGAGATAGTGGAGATAGCAAAGAACAATGATTTCTTGAAGTTCAAGCTTAATTTGTCGGCTCAGGAGGAGTAAGTGGTTCATCGTCACTAGCGTCTCGTTGCATTAGTGTGAGAGGCCTCACCCTCTTTCGTAGGCTATGTATTTGCACGTGTTGCCTTGTGGCGATCTGGGAAAAAAACGGCAAGTACTAGTCGAGGTTTGAGCAGATGGAAAAACTCCATGTTTTTAATAAAACTTTGTTTTGAATTTACTGTTTTGCTGGGGTAGTTTGCAGTTAATATCTCTCAAACCTTAACAGATCTAAAGATTAATGAAAAAAGGTATACTCTTAATAAAATATCGGAGATGATATAAACCGACTTCCAAACAGTGAAAATGCCTTGTTAATTAATTAAAGTAAATCGTGTTACCAAACAGTCGTATTAAAAAATTTAATTTCCTTTTCGCGAACGTCCTATTAGATCACTTCCTTATTCTCCGATCATTTTGAAAACCCTACTTCAACCCCTACGATTTCATCAGTGCTTGGAGAATACGCCGAAATCGAGAATGGCTTTTTCTATCGCTCTCCGATCCCGCCTTGTGCCAAGGTTGCTACGGAGTCTTCGATCTCGTACTTCAAGAAGGCTACTTTCAACGGAAGCATCTTCTTCTTCTTCATCCAAGGCGGCTCCAGGACTCTCCTCTGCCCAGCAGTCGCTCTTTTCTGATTTGCCAAATCATCTTCCTCCTCCTCCCCCTGAGGCGGCGGCGGCGGCGGCGGCGCTGGGAAAGGAGCGGAAAGGTCTAAAGTTTCTTAGTAACGTATTCATCTGGGCTCTCGCCGGTGCCACCGCTGCTGTTGGTTACACTAGCTATGGTCTGTTGCTTTCATCTCTCTCCTCTTCCTTTTATTATCTTCTGATCACGTGACTTACGGTTATTTAGAGAACAGCTAACGAAGCAGTGTCATGTTTAACTTTCAACTGATCTCTGACTCGTTTAGAGATCTCATATGATTCGTTGTTTATAACGTTGTTGCAGCTTACACATTAGATGAAGTGAATCAGAAGACAAAGGCCTTCCGAGAATCCGCTTCAAAGGCACCACCAGCTCTTTATTCTACCGGCATTGATGTGAGTTACCCCTTGCAACTCGCTTTCAATTCTATTCAGTTTTGACTTGCCATTGTACATCTCTTTTATCTCACCTACTCCTTGTAAAACTGCCCATGTTTTTCTCCCTGAATTAATACTTTATATCACTCATCTCTTTGCAGAAATACCAGGCAATGTTATACTCTACTGCCAAGAAAGGTAATAGCCCTTTTACCCTTGTCATAAAATTATCTCATATGACTTGGTTTTTACTTGAATTCTGATCAGTTCCTGCAAGAGCCATTGATATGTATTTGGAGCTTAGGGAAGCTGTGGAGGAACAAGTTAAAGTATGTTCTCTTCTTCCACCCCACACACACTTCTCTTGTGCCTTCCTATATCTTCTGATTTGTTTTTTTAACTTGTAGGGCTTCACAGAACCTCTCTCGGAAAAGCTTCTTCCAGATATGCACCCCGCAGAACAGGGTGTAATCTACACTCTCGTTCTTGATTTGAATGAGACACTGCTTTACACCGACTGGAAGGTAACACCAACCCTCCCCAATTCAATTATTATCTTGACATCTCCTATATTGTGAATATCCCTTTTAAAACACTTTTTCATTTACAACAAGCGAGAGAGAGGGTGGAGGACGTTCAAAAGACCAGGTGTCGATGCTTTCTTGGAGCACCTTTCCAAGTACTATGAGATTGTTTTGTATACTGACCAGATGGATATGGTATATATACATATATCCCTTTTTTTTTATTTTGTCTAATAATGTCATAACACTAACACTTTTGTTTCATTGCTTCTAGTATGTAATTCCCGTCTGTGAGAAGTTAGACCCGAATTACTACATACGCTATAGGTTAGCAAGAAACGCTACTAAATATGAGAATGGAAAGCACTTCAGGGTACGTAATCATCAATCTTATCTCTCTCTCTCTCTCTCTCTCTCTCTCTCTCTCTCTCTCTCTCTCTCTCTCTCTCTCTCTCTCTCTCTCTCTCTCTCTCTTTGTCAATAAACTACCAGAATTAGCTGCTTCTCAACTAACTATTTTAAAATCCCCGTGGTGCAGGATCTCTCAAAGCTGAACAGGGACCCGAAGAGGATTATGTATGTTAGCGGGAATGCTTTTGATACAACACTTCAGCCAGAGAATTGTGTGCCAATCAAGCCATACAAACTCGAATCTGATGACACAGCGCTTGTCGACCTAATACCCTTCCTTGAATGTAAGTATGGTTCAGTTCTAGTCTTGTGATCTGTTTTTTTTTTTTAATTATTAATGTTGGTTGGTTAGGCTGATCTCTTTTCTTTTGGGTCTGCAGATGTTGCACGTAACAATCCAGCTGATATCAGACCGGTTCTAGCCTCTTTCGAGAGAAAAGATGTTGCCAAAGAGTTCCTTGAGAGGTCCATAGACTATCAGAAGTGAGTCTTTTTTTTTCTTTACCTATTGATGAATGCAAAATCTGTTGCTGGCTGTCTAATAAGACGAGTCTTATTGAATATGCAGGCGAATGCAAGGACAAAGACAAGGCCGATTCTGGAGACGTTAAAAGGATCTATAAAACATTTTATGTATAGTGAGAGACAGATTATATCCTCATTGATGCATTACACCATAAAACAAGAACAGAAGCTACTGTTCTTCTCTTAGGGTTTTTAGGTAAACTTTGAACTAAATATGTCTTTCTCATCAGTTTATGTTTTTTACCCAATTTTTTTTTTAACTTTGTCTCCGGTTTACAAAGTGAACTTTTTCCAATAGAACCAAAATGAAATGCTCTTTATTCTTTAATTAGCAAATGTATTTTTATTCTAATCTGTTTTGGTTGATTACCAAATGAATTTACGATTATGAACTTTGAGAAGTTTAATTGGTTGAAACGTCTGTTTGTATGTATTGTGGAGTAAATAGTAGGCAGCTAAAATCTGTCAGTTTCGATGCGTGCCTTTAGGTACAATGTTGTAAGTGTTCCTTTCGCCTGTAATCCTTTTCAAATGTGTATGAAGTAGTAGAAGTCAAAATAACTATAAATCATAAATTATATTACTATACAAAACGGATCGATGACATATCTCCAATCAAATATACACAAGTCCCACTCAAGTTTCACATGCTCGTCCTCTTCTCTTCTTCGGCATCAAATTGTCTTCGTCTTTAAATTTTTGATGTGATTATGTTTTAAAAACTAAATTAGATTTTAAACTAGATTTTTATCTGTGCAGCCGCGTGGGTATCAGTTTTTATTTTTATATACATAAATATTTGTTATATAACATAAGTGGTATATATTTTTAATGTTAATCATATACATAAATGTTTATATAACTATTTCAAATACAATAATTTTAGAATTTACGTGTTATATTAATCAATTGCTAAAAATCTTATATATTTATCTCTTATTATATATTTATCTTATGTATTTGCATTTAGTTATTAAAAAAATTAATATATTCATGAAAAAAATATTTGAAAAATATTTTATATTTAATGTATAGAAATATATAAAATAGTTAAATGTACATTTTTAAATAGCTAAACGATACTCCAAATACTAAAAATACTTGAAATATTTATTGGTCTTTTGTCTAAATATTTAAGATAAACTAATTTTATGTTAAGTTTAAGTATTATGGCATTCCTTTTTTTCAAATTTATATGGTATATATTATTTTTATTTTTAGATTTTGAGAAATTTAAAGTATATATAAACTTTAATCTTTTTTTAAAAAATTAAATAGGTTCTCCGAACCTAAACCCAAACCCAATCTAACCGAATCAAATGATACCCAGATGCCCATTTCTAATCAAATGTAAAAAAAAAGTTATTGATAACAAAATATGTATTTAAATCAGTACAACATATTTTTTTCAAAGCTCACCCTGCGCCATCATCTAATTAGATTTTATTTTTGAACATAACTATTTTATACTTACGAAAATAAAATATATAAATTTATCAATCTCATACAATTTTATTATAGTTAGTTTAATATAATAATTTTCTTTTAATATAATTGATTATCATTATATAATAGATAATATGATATTATTTTTTATTTTATAAACTTAACTGAATATATTAATATATAATAATATTTCAAACTAATTTGAAATTAGTGAAAATATTTAAAGATAATATCGAAAATGAAGATCTTATAAAAATATTTTAAACAGATTTGTTAGAATTAATAATTATAATTATATTTAGAATGAAAATATATTTATATTTATATTTATGATTAAAGTATTTTAAAGATTATATATATTGTTAATTTTAATGAAATACTTATACTAGAAGTTTCTAGTGAGAGTCCATTTTAAAAGAATAAATAAATGTTTTTGTATTTTCAATGTAAAAAAAAAAAAGAGTAAATCGATCATAAAACAATCGATCGATCTCAAATGCATTAGAATTGTTCTCAAACTCAAACAACGTGATTAGATTGATCTATTTTCGTTGCTCTAAATCCTATGTATTAAAATTTTAAAGAGTTCCATTGAATTTCAGATTCTAAACATACATAAAGATTAAGCTTTATAGGTTCACGAAAAACAAAGAATCAATGACTAATCTATAATAGCAACAGAAATCAATGAATGGATTCTTTGGAAATAGAATATAGAATCGTCTTTCTGATGCTTACAAATATCCAGAACAATGTGAAAAGATAATAAAAGAAATCGAATGCTAAACAATGGACGAAATTAGTAGATATATGTCTAATTCATGTTTTTTTAACATTGACTTAAAACAGACTCATATTATCTTATGATAAGCCAATCCGAGTCCAAAATAAGTATCAATAGTTCGGAACTTCGAATCTTTTTTGGTCACAAATTTCATTAATTCAAATTTAAGAAGTTTCAAAGATTACAACCGGAAGTATACTCGACGGTAATTTAAATAAACAACAACAACGGTAATGCAATAAAACATGGGATAGAAATGTTAAATGGAAAGACTTGCTTTAAGTAAAGAGATTGGCAGATAATCTTTGCTTGAATCCTAGAAACCACGAAGTTTCAAATAATTTGAAACGACGTTGAAATACTTAACTGAAAAGGATTTGGAGGAGTTCAATACTACTTACTATAGTTAACAAAACCTAAGAAAGCCTAAACCGAATCCACCGAACCAAAATTTAAGAATATCCTAAATCTCATGTCTCGTGATAACCAAGAATTGATTAAAGCTGAATTAAATCGGATTGGACATCTAACGACCCGAGTCACCCGACTACCAGAAATGTATAAGAGGCAATTCATCTCTAATGGGCCAAAAAGTTTAATGTTTGGGGTTAAAATGGGCACATATTTGTTTGTTATCTCTGTCCCGCCACTCTCTCAATTAGACCAGATTACGCGTCGCAGTTCAAATTACCCTTCTTTACTGGCATCGAAGATCAGAATCGTGGGTGGGATCGAACCTTAGACTTTTTTCTCAGACGGGCTAGGTTTTTTTTTAGAATCCGATGAATTTGAGAGATTTGAACAAGGTGTGGGAAATAAAGGCATTGAAGAAGAAACCGAGGGAAGATGAAGCGATGAAGATTCTGGAGAAAGTAGCGAATCAGGTTCAGCCCATTATGACTAGACGCAAATGGCGCGTCAAGCTTCTCTCTGAATTCTGGTAAAACTAGATGGTGTTATTTGAGTATTTAGCTATTAGGGTTTCTTATTTGTGGTTATTAATTTTCAGGCCAACAAATCCAAGGCTTCTGGGGGTGAATGTTAATAGAGGCGTTCAAGTGAAATTGAGGCTTCGAAGAGCCAACAATGATGGAGATTTCTTATCCTATCACGAAATCCTTGACACAATGCTCCACGAGCTTTGCCACAACGCCCATGCTCCTCACAACGCTTCTTTCTATAAGCTCTGGGATGATCTTCGAAAGGTTACTCTTTTCTTCCTTCATAACACAACTTTCTTCTCATGTGAGGTTTAGTAAGATGCTCTCTTTGTTCAATATTATCATACCTGTTAGCTGCAATCTCCTACCACTATGCCTTTATTTGAGATTTTGGCTGCTTGTTACTCTTCTGTATTACAATAATTGTCAATGTGTTATGTCTCAGGAATGTGAGGAGTTGATGTCAAAGGGTATAACAGGGACAGGACAGGGATTTGATGCTCCTGGGAAGCGTTTGGGTGGGTTTTCTCTTCAGCCTCCCCTCTCTTCTCTTCGGTCAACAGCAGCTAAAGCAGCAGAGAATAGAGTGCGTTCGGGCAACCTATTACCCTCTGGACCTCAACGTCTTGGTGGTGATAGCAGCATTATGTCACATCTTAGCCCTATCCAGGCTGCTGCTATGGCTGCTGAAAGGCGTTTGCTTGATGACATCTGGTGTGGTTCCCAGTCCACTGATGAGGCTTTACAAGACCAAGAGAATGATAGTACCGAACCCGTAAGGGAAACTCTTACGAGCTTGAATGCAAGGTCAGCAAAGAGAAGCAGTAGCTGCTCAAATACCACCAATTCAAGCCCTCCATCTTCAAGCCATCAGTGGGGATCAGATATCATTGATTTAACAGAGGAACCTTCTGAAAGTAGATTTATTAAAAGAAGTTGCAACCCAAGCGACATAGGACAAGAAGGTTAAGTTGCAACCCAGGCGACATAGGACAAGAAGGTTACAATGCAAACCAAGTCAGAGAAGAACCTGCAATGTGGGAGTGTGAAGAATGCAACTTATTGAACTCGGTACGTCTTGTAAATATTACTTCCTGCTATCTATCTATTCCGACGTTATTCATTGTCTGTCTTGTTTTCTTGGAGTAGTTGTTGGCTCCGATATGCGAGCTATGCACCGCAACAAAGCCAAAGGAAAGGGAGATGAAGCACAAAGTCTGGTCTTGCAAGTTCTGCACACTTGAAAACGAGGTGAAGCTGGAGAAATGCGAGGCTTGTGGGCAGTGGAGATACTCCTATGGACAACCTTTGTCGACTCGTGCTCCTAATGTTGGCACTTGAGGGACTAGAAGTCCAGTCTTAGCCTTTTTTCCATATAGCCAACGAGCAGTGATAACAAGATTCTCCAAGTTCTGTAAAACGAGTCACAACTTGGGCATGTGGCTGCGTTATGTTATGTTGGGTTTACACCTTTTGACTCTATTTTGGTACAAAGAATATTTTGATCAGGGCACACCAGCTTATGATAGAGATATGCTCACTCGAGCTCTGAGAAAACAAAACAGCAGTTAACATTGGTAATACTTATACTTCTCAAAAATCCATGTTTTCTGTAATTCTATTATTTGCTTCTACCAAGTTTCATAACGTCCATTTACAAGTTTCTTTAAAATATGCACATTACCTAGTGATGAGTCATAAATTATCTGTTAGGAGAATTTGATAGCTAAAACCAAAGTTTAAAAGGGTATACTGTGCTCATACTGTTCCACAAAAACAAACTTATTCTTACTACCGTCGTATTCAGTTTATCCTAGAGTATATTCGACATTTCGTTAATATTCTATGAGAACAAAACTATACAGTTAAGGAATTTTTTGTGTTTCAACTTGTCACTAGGATGATATTTTTTTATTAAAAAGTTAAAAGTCAACAAATAGTATACTACTAGGATAAGACCTGCGCCTTGCGCAGGGTGAATATATGTAATTAAAATATAAAATTTTAATATTCACAAATTTAAAATTTACATATGATTGTTTTTGTATGTATTTGAAATTTTAGAATTTGGAATTTTTATATAATTATCTATACGTATGATCAAAAACAATTTTAATTAGAAATGTAAATCAAATCTTAGAATTTAATGGATCTGATTTCATATATCTTTTTACTTTTCAGTGTTCGAGTGATGGAAAATAAATGGAGTGTCACTGGGCTTGATTGGTAGAGTATAGCAAGTTCCCTAATGTTTTTAAAGAAGCA